AGCCACCGGCCGGCCCCCTAGTGTTACTATTTTTAAGCCGAATTCACCATTATTTTAACTGACCACTTGGTGGCAGCAAAGGCTATATTTTAAATATCAGCACACTTGCAAATGAGATGCTTATCAGTGTACCAAGTCCTGGGAGGACAAGAGATGCCACACCCTGACACTGGCCTTGTGCCACAGACCTGAGGCTTGAGAGGACAGGCAAGGGCTCTATCAGTGCAGGAGACCTCCATTCAGTGGCTGTGATGGAACTAACCCTTCTTGGCACCTAACAGATCTCAAAGAATTGATACTACTATACCATCAAAAAACTACCTACTTCATTGTTCTTGTATCACTGTCTTCTTCGCCACACAGATTTTAGTTCAGAGAAAATACAACTTCTCACTGTTGGAACACAAAATCTAAAGATAGTCTGCCAACAAAATAGTATAGTAATAATTTAGGGAATGCTAAGAATATCTATTTCCAATAAAATTATATTTCCTCCTCCTCTAGTCTCACTCAATATTGCAGGTGTTTTTAAAAAATTCTATCATGATGTTCTAATTATACAGCAGTACAAGCCAAAAAATAACAAAAACTTATAAAATCAGCTTAGAGGATTACATTCTATCTCCCTGGTTTTTAAATGTTACTTTCTGACAGTACAGGCAACATCATCATTCAAAACCCAGCCTCAGCCTAGTCAAGGGGCTCACCCAGGGCCACTCCCAAAGCACAGGGTAAAGAGTGATGCTGCTCCCATCCGCGAGACACGGATGCTGTAATGGCAAGATTTTATGATATGAGAAATGGATATTGGGGACATAATTTAAGTAAGAGTTCTCAAGGGGGGGAAGGGAGAGAGGGAGGCAGGAAAGATGAACAGGTAAAGAGTCACAAAAATCAACTATAATGTATATTGAGAAGTTAAAATAAAAAAAAAAAAAAGAGTTCTCAAGCATCTGTCTCATTTACTAGTTGGCCTCTAACTTTCCCCCACCACAAATCTAAATTTCTTTCTCATTAAAAATGGGATTTTGAATATGACAAAAACATTAATAGTAGGTAAATCTAGGTATAGTAAATGGTACTTGGGAGTTCTTTGTCCTACTTTTGCAATTTTTTTCTATTTTGAAACACAACACAATTCCATAATTTATTTGGATTTTCAACACTGACAAATGCTTAAAAATATCTTAATATTCTTTTTATTCTTTTGTATATTGAGAATTATGACAACCAAATGATTATGATTTTAAAAATTAATACGATATCACTACTTACTCTATGAATTATACCAGCTGAATGCAAATGTTTAATACCACAAAGCATGCTTAAAAATATCTTAATATTCTTTTTATTCTTTTGTATATTGAGAATTATGACAACCAAATGATTATGATTTTAAAAATTAATACAATATCACTACTTACTCTATGAATTATACCAGCTGAATGCAAATGTTTAATACCACAAAGCATCTGGTAAAGAAGGTAGGACATTCTTTCATGGTCCAACTCCATATGAATAACCTGACATAAGTTAGCATCCATTAATTCCATAACCAAATACCTGTGGGGAAAAAAAACATCAGCCGTGTGCATGAAAGTTATCCAGAACTCCTTTATGGGTATTAAACTGGAATTTTCTATGAAACAATAACAACTTACTATCTAATCACAACACTAGCTAAAGTAAAAGGACAACTTGTCTTCTCTATGTATTTATAAGGTGTCTCAAAAAGAAGCAAATATATAACGGAACTTTGTAAAAATTTTCCAAAGAATATAAAAACAACTAACTTACCCAATGTCTTTCAAGTTAAAAACAAAACAACTTTTACATCATAATAAGCAGAATCTCATAATTCAAGTTCCCCTACTTAAATCTGCTGCCATTGGATCAGTCAGCATACAATCCACGCTGTCACAGGTCCAGCTGTAACAAATGTGCCACTCTAGTGGGGGTGTTGATGATGGGGAGGCCCTACATGTGTGCGGGGAGAGAGTATATGGGAAAACTCTGTACGTCCCACTGAATTTTGCTGTGAAACTGAAAGAGCTCTAAAAATGAAGTCTATATTTTAAAAAAAGTGATCACACAACAACAATTACAATAAAAAAGAAAACTTTTGACCCCACTTCCCTCACCAGCTATCACCCCATTTTCTTTGTTCCCTTTGCAAACAAAACTCCCCAAAGAGGTGTCTAGACTTGCCATCTCCAGTTCTTTTCCCTTTTTTTCTTAATCGTACTGTCAGGCTTGTGCCCCCACTACTTTGCTGAAACTGTCCTCCTCAAGGTCACTGATGACTTCCATGATGCTAAATCCAGTGGCCAATCCTACAATCCTGACTGTCCCTACTTACTGTCGGAGTGCCCAGCACTCGGTCCTTGGCCTTCTTCCTTTCTCTAACTACACTCACTTTCTTGGTGATCTCCAGTCTCACGGCTTTAAATACAATCTATATACTGTCAACTCCAAAATTCCTACCCTCAACCCAGACCTCTCTCCTGAACTGCAGGCTAATTTATCTAACTGCCTACTTCACAGCTCCACTTGAATGTCCATTAGACAGCTTGAAGTCCACGTCCAAATCTGAACTCCTGATTCCACTCCTAATCTGCTCTTCTCATAGCCTTCCTCATCTCAGCTGAGAGCTCCTTCATCCTTCAGGTGCTCAGGCCTCAGCTCCCCTCTCACTCACCACCTGTCCTATCTATCAGCAAATACTGTGGCTCTATCTTTGGAACAGTTCAGCATACAATTTATTCCCTTCACCCTCACTATTATCCTTTGGTCCTAACAGACCTACCATCAGCTCTCACCTGAACTGCTGCGGTAGCCTCTGTTAATTAACTCATCTTCTGTGTCCCTTCTGTGGGTTCCCACCCCAAGAACCAGAGTTATTCTTTTAAAACCTAAGTCAGGTGAGCTCACTGCTCTGCTGTAAATCTTACTTTGACTTGCCTCAGAGCAAAAGGACATCCTTACAAAGGCTTAGAGGTCCCTGCAGTGTCCCACCCATCACTTCTCTGATCCCACCCTCTTCTCCTTCCCCTGCTCCCTCCACTCCAGCCACACCAGGCTTTTGCTGGTCTTAGAACACACCAGGTATGCTCCCACTGCCACTCCTTTGCACTGTGTTTCTCCAATCTCCATTCCACCTTCCCCCAAATATCTGTAGGACCAACTCCCTTACCTACTTTAAAGCTTCCTTGAAATGTCACCAACTCACTGAGGTCTTTCCCCAACTGCCCTATTTAAAATTGCAGCCTGACTCCCAACCCCAGCACTTGTGATCCCTGACCCCACTCTACTCTTTGTCCACAGCACTTACCATATACTAATGAACTACATTCTTTCCTTCTTTATTATGTTTATTGTCTCTCTTCCCTGGCAGGCTCTAGGAGGGAGTTTATCACCTAAGTAATAAAAGGATTTGGGGCTGTTTTGGTCACTAACATATACCAAGTTCAAGAGAGTGCCTAGTACACAGTGAGCAATCAAATACTTGTTGGACAACTGACTACACCAATAAATTTGGGGTGAAGTTGGACGCCATGCCCCAATATGATAAGTTAATATTCTATTTCACTGTGAGTTGGTAAGTTAATTATATTTAAGGTTCAGGACACAAATTTAATGACTTAATCATTTCAAATGATACTTATAAACACCTGAACCCTACAATACTGGCTACTAGGTACTGGAGAAAAACATTTTGTAGTTCAATAAAACAGAGCAGTGGCATCAATAGTCACTGCCTGCTCTGAAGAATCCTTTTCAGTCAGCCTTTATCTGTTATGGAGATAATAACCCTCTAGGCACAAATAACTGAATATTACTATCCATTTTTCTTAATATTTCTCTTCCACAGAGAAATGTACCTATGATATCATTAAAAATTAATTGCCACCTATATATCCTAAGCACAAAAGGCAGTTACTTCCTTTTCTAAATTTTCAGTCTTTGATGCATAGTGCATTACTAAATAAAAATGATACTTACACATCTTGAAATTCTTCTAGAGTTTTTTGTGGTGTAAACACATTTAACAAACTAATTATCTGAAAAGAAAAAATTATACCTTAGCATATTAGATAACTCTACTTGACTATAAAAATTAAGTTTAACATTAAAATGTATTAAAACTGGAAAAAAATCACAGCAGAGCTCAGTATTTATCATTATTATTGCTTTTACCAAAACATTCTATTGTTAGATAACTCTACTTGACTATAAAAATTAAGTTTAACATTAAAATGTATTAAAACTGGAAAAAAAATCACAGCAGAGCTCAGTATTTATCATTATTATTGCTTTTACCAAAACATTCTATTATATGGCATTTGAAAAAAGTTAAACATCGATTGAAAATAAGATGTACTTTAAATCAAACCACTTTTATGTGTCCCTAGTAACTTAAATTATCATTACAGGATTTAAACACATATGAGAGGTCTTCAAAAAATCTTTCACAGAAAGATTTGTATTATATTTTAATTCTATTTTTCCATGAACTTGTTGAAGTACTCTCGTAATGTCTTTTTGGCTCTGAACATAAAAGAGTAGAAATTATGGGTGGAAAAACACTAAATAAAGCAATATCTTAACTCTGACAACTTATACACTATGAAAAAATTTCTAAAAAGTTCTGAAATATGAAGGCTAAGCTCATGTGTGGTGTGACGAAGATAAGCCACCTCATAGCATGCTGTATATATTTACTTAAAGAGGGTTAAAGAGCTGACCCCATCACAGGCCTCCATCTGGTACTCCATGGTTGTAAACACTGAGTTGCATTGCTTTGAGCATCAAACACACATCTTCAATCATTTCAAATGACCAAGGGAAGGATGAATTATTCAGTATACAAGATTGGAGTGACTGTCTAGCCAAGGAAAAAAATAAAACTGCATCCACACTTCAATCTTTACTCCAAGGTAAATGGGAAATGGAACAAAGATTTAAATCTAAAACATGAAACTATAAAACATTAGAATATAGATAAACACTTACATAATCCTTGTGTAAAATAGTCTTTTTAAAGCATGACAGGAAACCTAGGATATTTAATTACATTGAATACAAAAACAAAAATAAATTTTAAAAGTAAGGGTTGATAACTTTAACACACAAAACTTCCTACAAATGCAAAAGAAAGAGACCAGAGGGGCCGGCCCGTGGCTCACTTGGGAGAGTGTGGTGCTGATAACACCAAGGCCACAGGTTCGGATCCCTATATAGGGATGGCCGGTTAGTTCACTTGGGAGAGCATGGTGCTGACAACACCAAGTCAAGGGTTAAGATCCCCTTACTGGTCACCTTTTAAAAAAAAAGAAAGAAAGAAAGAAAGAGACCAGGAGGCCAAGAGAAAAATGGACAAAGGCCATGAAAAGCAAATTCTCAATAAAATTTTTAAAATGACTAATAAACATATAGAAAGAAATTCAACCTCAAAAATAAAAGTAAGATATCATTTGTCATCTATTGGATTGGCAAAAGTAAAACAAAAAATCAACGATATGTAGGGCTGGGTGATTTTGAAGTAAAAGACATTCTCAAATATTCTTAATGAAAGTGTAAAACTGACAGTTTTCCTTAAGGTCAACTTGTCAGCACATATTAAAACCAGAAGCAGTCTTTGACCTAGCAATATTGACCAAGAAACTCACCTGGACAAGTATACAAAAATTCATCTATAAGGATATTCACTGCAACGTTCTTTGTAATAGCAAAAAATTGGAAACAGTATATCCAACAATAAGTGGCCTGTTAAATAAGTTATTGTGCACCTGTACTACACAGCCATTTAAAAAATGGTATATATCTATGCTCATTGAAGTATATGAGCTGTACCAACATTCCAAGAAGGAAAAAAAGGAGGATGAAGACTAACATAATTGATCTTGTTTCTGCTTCTGTGCACACATATGCATAAGAATGCTCACTAAAATGTTACTGCTAGTAATCTGTGGGTGGTGGGATTCATGGATTTTTGCTTTCTTGTTTATATTGTTTTAATTTTTAAAAATAACCACATATTTTTTTGTAACCTGAAAAAAATTTTAAAGTAAGTAAAACTGAGAAATTGAAACCAACTCAAACCACAGACTCAAAAGAATGAACCTATCTTAGTTTCATATTTAATGTCCCTACATGAGAAAGATCCAGCATAAATGTTAAAGCAAAGGGAACCATATAGAGTTTAGCATAGTCTTAAATATTCATCCCCTCTCCAAAAAAAAGGGGTCACATGAGTTGATCCCAAGGCCGCTTCCACGTTTAACATTTTATGATTTCATAACATGGCAAGGTTATCAAAATAATGCTCAGAGACCACTAGTAGGACATACAATGTGGTTTCTAGAGACATATTATTTTTCTTTAAGACATGGAGATGACAAGTACAGCTATCCTGAATGTAATAGCACCTAATAACATGTTTTTAAGACTGAGATGACAGGGCTGGCCTCTTAGCTCAGTTGGTTAGAACGCCACCTTGTAACACCAAGGTCAAGTGTTCGGACCCTTGTACCTGCTAGCTGCCAAAAAAACCCCCCACAAAACGGAGAGATATACAAAAATTCATCTATAATTCATCCATATGTAAGGTAAAAAGCTACTTATAGAATAATGTTTATCAAAAAATATTTAGTTGGCTCTCAATTTGTTAGGTCAATATTTTTTCCTATTTTATAGAAACAGAAACAGTGGAAACCAAATGGTTATAGGATTAACTGACATTCCTACCTTAACTGAGTGATCTAAATTCTTCTAGACCATGACACCGCTTTCTAACTTCAACTTCCCCAACGATAATTAAGAATTTTATCAATAAAATATAACCATTTTAATAGCCATTTTTATCATTAGTTTGTCCTAGGTCTGAATTCAATGTATCTCCAAAAGACCCTGAAGATTATCACACCATTGACAACATCAAAGCACACAGAGGAAATATATACCTAACTTACATTTTTATGATTGACACATTTTAAGAGGACGAGTTCACGATAAGCTCTCTTTGCATGAGTTTGATTCTGAAAAGGACGGCTAAGTTTCTTGACTGCAACATTTATTCCAAGAACTGTATCAAAAGCAGCACTATAATTAGGAAATATAATAAACACTCCATTAGAATGGTTTTGGAAAATATAGCAATGCAGAATGTACATTCAATGTATTATCTTTTTAATGAATAACAAATAAGGAAAAATCTTTCTGCTTGTTTCCTTTCTATTCAAAGTATTTCGACATATGAAGAGCAAAACGAGTTGCTAAGATTGCAGGATGGACTAACTTCTTTGCAGAGGCACAGCTGCAGTTAAGATGTATTCAGCAATCCTTTGCACATTGAATTCTCATTATATTAGTTGAGATCATTATGTTAGAATCAGGTCATTTAATACAGAGCATATAAGACCAATGAAATCCGCAGTTTAAACATGTCAAGAAGTTGGGGAAAAAAATCACTGTTATCACAGATTAAAATGTAAATATATTTTGGAGTATCACAGCAGTAGAAACGGTTGAACTCATGAGAAAAATATAATAATCTTGATTGATTGTGTTTTTCCCAGACAAAAAGATGTAAAAAGAAAACAGAAGCCAAAATCTCAGCTCATGGTAAATTCCCCACATACCAAATCCCTAATGTAAGCAATTGCTATATATGAAATTCTACTAAAAATACCTCCTCCTATTATAGTAAGAATAAAATCTAGTCAGCATCTCAAGTTCCCAGTTGAAATTTAGGGTTCATTTTCCTCCAGAAAATAGACATGAAAAATTGAGTAGCCTGATTACACATTTTCAGATTTCCAACTATGCAGTACTTATAGCACCATTAATGTTATTACCTTGTGACTATTCATCAGGGGTTAAAAGCTGCTAAAGACCACCTGAGAAAACAAGCACCATTTTAAATACTGTTTCTATTTATTAATTCTATTAAGTTTATAACACTGTTAACACTTACTCTCTTCTATTAATAATGTCTTTGCCAAACAACTCTAACTTAATCTGTTTTTAAGTTGAAGGCTATCTTCTGTAACATTTGGTTAAGAATTATTAGAAACTTCATGTTATTTTTAATTTCATTTTAATTCAGTTTACATTTTGTGCACATGCATACACATATGTAAATCCACATGCCCATATGCAAATGTACCATTCATAGGAATTATAAAATGTTCAAGATAAACCTATTTGTAAAATAAATCATTAGTTAATGTACCTGTACACATGCATGTGTTTGTACCTATTTCTCAGACTCAAGAATTTGAAAACAGACACTTTTTTGGTCTCAAAAGTTTTAATCCAAAATTTCAGTTAGACAGGAGGAATAAGTTCAAGAGATCTATTATTGTACAACATGGTGATTATACTTAATAAAAATGTATGGCGTTCTTGAAAATTGCTAAGACTTTAAGTGTTCTCACCATGCACAAAAAGTCAGGTAAATCATATGTTAATTGACTCGATATAGCCATTCCACAATGTATACATATTACAAAACAGGTTGTATGTGATAAATATACACAATTTTTATTTGTCAATTGAAAAAAGTTTTTGTCCAAAATGAGCCAAATGGACCAATTCTAAACATCTGGGTAGACACATGATTCCACATTCTTAGTTCCAATTCCAGGAGCAACTATCTTCAGTTATTCCTGGTTTGGGTTTTGTAGCCACTTTTCAACTCCAAAGAATATATTTTTATAACAATTTCTTCATTATCAACTTTACTATCATCATCATTATTATTTAATATTAATTTTTGGCAGTGGCTGGCCGGTACAGGGTTCCAAACCCTAGACCTTGCTCTACCGAGTAAGCTAACCAGCCAGCTGTCATTTATCAACTTTAGAATTAATCTATTTACTCCCCATTATGAAAACTAAAGAGTTAACCACATACTTGAAATCCCCAACACCTCTCAGTTTTTTTGCTCTCAGGTTAGTTTTAGGTTTTCCCTTGGTTACCTCTGTAAATTTAGCATGCCTGAATTTCTTGTTCCATCAACTTTCAAAGGAACCTCTTGACTTCCCAGGATATAAAATGAGACTATTATATTCCATCCCCTTTGTCTTCCATCTCTCTACCCTCCTCTCTTTTCCTCCAAACTTCTGTCTTAAATGGTCAAGCTTTACAGTTTATTTTATATTTATAATTAAGTCTTACGTGTTTCTTCTTTAAGATGTGGTTAAAAGTTGAAAATCAATACATAGAGTGTATGTATGTATGTGCAAATGTAACTATTACTAATTGCAAAGCTGGGATTACATTTCATTTTCTAAAGACAACATGACCTTTGCTGCCACTCATAAGAGAATGAGACGGTTTCCAGCATCAAGGGCAAATGGATTCTCTTTTCTTGATGTAACATCATGTCCTTTTAAATTTGGTTTATATTTGGACCATGACTTTTTCTAGCATTTCCCCCCACAAGTTTCTAATAAACTTTTTTTTTGTCTTATTAAGAGAAGAAAATTATACCTTTTTTAGCCTATCACCAGTACTTCCTAGCTTCTTACTCACATTATCTATTGCTTGCAATCTATTCCACTCTTTCTTGCCTTTTTTTTTTTTTTTTTTCTGTCCGGCAACGGATCGCAACCCTCAGTGTCGCGCCCGTACCGGACCGGGACCGGCAATGGGACCGCAACCCTCGGTGTTGCTCCCACACCTCGCTCAGCCAGTGAGCGGGAACCGGTCTGTATGTGGGATCTGAACCCTCGGCGGGAGCACCACCGCGCTTCCCAAGCGGCGCACTGTAGCAGTGCGCCACCAGGCCGGCCCCTCCACTCTTTCTGAAGACATTTTTCTTGGAGCTTCTTTCAAAGCCTGCTACACAGCTGTTCTCCTGGGATTTCTTTTCACTGGCCTCCCTCTACTTTCTCATATTACATGATATTGTATTGTCTTTCTTGTTGGAGTATGTCTTCAAGGAATTTCCTCAGAAAAAGTTCAGGGAAGATAAATGATCTTATTCTGCCCTCACCCATGATTGATAGATTGTCTTCTAAGTTCAAAATCAATTTTCTCTTGAGACTTTAAAGGCATTGCTCCCCTGATTTCTAACATTAAGTGTTGTTGGTGAGAAGACTTATTCCTAATACTCATCCATTTTGCTTCTTTTTTTGTTCCTCAGCTCAATGATCTATCATAGTCATGTTCTGTCAGTATCCCAAAAGCCCCTCTGACACCCCCAACTAAATCACTCCAGGCAGTCCACCAAAGATAATCACTACTTCTGACTTTTATGATAATCACTTCCTTGCTTTTACCAGCTACACTTGCATCCTCAAGCCACCCTCGTTTATTTTTGACTGGTTTTTGGAATCTTGTATTTGAATTCTTTCATTCGTTCATTATGTATGTAAGTTCATTCGTTGTTGTAGGTAGTTATAATTCATTCTTTGTTATTGCTTATAATATTC